GGGCCAAGTTCATGGAGGGAGGCTATTCAGCTCCAAAGTGCCAAGGGATGTTGGGATGCTGTCCCTCCCAGAGGACCTCCCTGTGTGCCAGAGGACATCAGCCATGCTGGTGGCAGACATGTCTGCCTGGTACACATGTCCCGCCACTTCCTACAGGGCTGACGCACTCTGGACCCTCACCCCATGCCTGCCTCACCCCTAGGCATGGGTCAGATATCCAGAGGTGACCCTTCTGGGTGGTCTGCAGCTCACACGCTTCAGCTATCAGCTCACTGCCCTCCCACCTGTTCCTTCCTGGGAAACCACAGTACAGGCTCAGAACCCTCTCCTGCCGACCCCTCCCCTCTGTCCACCTCACCCACAGTTCCCCGTGTGGCCCAAGGTGGCATGCTACCCTCTCTCCTCTGGCAGCTGTGAGTAATAACCTGGCTTTGCAGTGGCAGCATGGTCTCCTGATCTCTTGGCTGCTCCATGCGAGGATAAAAATAAAGTTTACATTTAAAAGCAGCCATTCAGGGTGCCAACTGAAAGTGGCCCTTCCCACATTTCTAAAATACCCTGAGAGTGTCTTACCATGTTGAGAATCATCACTGTGTGAAAGTGTCCTGGGCATGAAAATGTGTCCCTAGATGGAAGGTGAGAAATTTTCTCTCATTCTCTCTCCCTCCCTCTCTCTGTCTCCCTCGCTCCTTCTCCTCCTTTCCCCCCTCCTCCACACACATATGTGCTTTCCCTCTATTTTTCCTGTCTTTCTCTGTTAACACACAGCACACAGGTTGACCCCAGCATCCTCAGCCTGGTATGATGGGGCCCTGGAGAATTCCCTAGCTATTCAGATTGCGCCCACAAGCATCTGGTCATCTCCGAGACTTCTTGTTCCCTAGACTCTTCTTTATGTGCTTCCAGTTAACTTGGATTCTGCTTGATCTGTCTCATTTCATAGACTCCTTTTATCACTGGCAGTTTTTTTGGGAGGAGCGCTAATTAGTTTCTTGGCCTCCATAGGCCAGTGGGCAGTTCCCCCCTAGGAGAAATGCTCCATATAACCTTTGCATAGGCCTTTGCACATACCCATGTGCCCAGTTACTTCTGGTGATGCGAGCCGGGTGTGTGGGCTTTGAGGGCGCATGTAGGACAGGTTTGGATTTGTGAGCAAAAGTAGACAGCAGAGGAGAGCAGCCTCCACACACCCACAGATTTGGCAGGAATTTGCTTCAGTTAGATTAATAGGTTAATTAACGGGATTTAGAAAATATGGACAGATTAGCCCAAGATGACTTATTTAGCAAATGAATCCTTAATATTCAATTTATCTCCATTTTCTCTTTTTATAACTTGGAAAAGCCTCTTACTCTGCCTTCTGTCCTGTCCCTGAAGCCGTGGCCCTAGTTCCAGCCTCTCTGTATCCTCGCCGGGCCATCCAGTCTCTTGGAATTCCTGGTGCTACCATGTCATGGCCTCCCTACCCTGGACCTCTGCTTTCTCTGCTGTGAGGGCTGAGGTGCAGGTTCTTAGACCAGGTGGAGGCTCCTTGTCTGCTGCCTGGCCGTCACGCTGGACTCCAGGGTGCTTGCAGGGTGAGGGCCCTGTCCTCAGTGAGCCGCCCTCCTCTGTGACATCCACACCTCCCTCTGTAGTCACACAGGTGCGGGCCGGTCCCCCTCCAGGGCTCTGACACCACCAGCAGATTAAATAAGAGTGTGTTCAGTAAATTTCAAATTTCAGGTGAACTGCAAACAACATGGGGAAAGACAGAGTCAAGCGTGTGCCTGAAATTGAAACTTAGTTGGGCATCCTGTATTTATATTTGCCAAATCTAGCAATGCTTCTACTCCTCTGCCTTTTCCTTCTGGAACTTTATGCTCTGCTCCAAGGGCTTGCTTCCATTCTAGGTGGAAAAGCTGTGATGGCAGTGTCTGCCACCACTGGTGGTAGCATCCATTAGAACAGAGGGCGCGAGAAGAGGAGGCCTGATCTGACTCATTTGTGGGGCCCCTGCACCACCGGAGGGTGCCTTGTTGGTGCTGCCTGATGACTGACATCTCTTGGGGACAGGAAACGCAGACTGGGTTACAGCACACAGGCGCAGGTTGTAGCCTCCAGCCGCCTCTGGGTTCCCTGTCCTGATGCCATGTCCTTGGCTGCCCTCTGTGTTCTTGGGCTGATGGCTGGAATGGTGGCCCTGTGTGGTTCAACCTGCGTGGTATCCAGCCCCAGCAACCTCTCTCCCTCCACATCAGGGCCACAGGGAACGTGATTGAGATGATGTTGGAGAAAGACTTCCGAGCTGTACGGCAGGGCTCTCTCATGCTCCTGGATTTGCTGCAACTTGCTGGTGTGTGCAGGTTACGTGTGTGCCAGTGTGTATATCATGTGTGAACCCGTGCGCACACGCGTATGGTGATCAGCTCCTCGAGTGATAGCCCAAACACTGAAGGACAGTTCTGCAATTTTTAATTTTTCTAACAGTTTCTTAAGGTGAAGTGGAGCAGAGCGGAGGTTGGTTTCAGGATTTCCTTGTAGGCACCCAGTGCAAGAAGACCCTCAACAGAGTCCTTCAGGACAGGCAGGGGCACCTGGCTTCATGTCTGCACATAGGAACTATTTGTTTCTTCCTCCGGATTCTGAAAACTACAGCTATAATGCATTAGTTGGATCTGGGTTTATTATAAAATGTCTGAGAAGCATTTACTCTTATAAAGAAACAGGAAAAAAACAATTATCTCCACCCTTGCTGACCAGAACTAAATATTATCTTTCCTGTGTTTTGTTTTGAGACACTTTTTGGTTCATAATTGGTTTCATCATTATGTATAAAATTTTCTCTTTAAAAATGATATCATCACACGCATTTACCCACATCTTTGGAAATACTGTGAATATCTGTTCAACATCTCACAAAATGAAAGTAATGATTTCTGGTGCCTTCCTCCTAGTTTGATAATTTAAATAATTTACACTTGTTTCCTGTACATATGTTTGCAGTTAGATGTATGTCACCCCTCCCATTGTTTTGTTACTTGGGTTCCTAGGATTTTAATCCTCATTCAGAATCTACAAAGCAAGTCAGCAATGGTGGCTGAATCCTGCTACTGACTTTTTCCCACAAAGGCTATGCCCCTCATGCTGCTGAGTCCATGTCAGCTGCGAGTTCCCTCAGCAGGAAAACTTCTTGAGCAAGCAGCAGAGCAAAGCAGTGATGAGCACTTCCAGAATGATTTCCCTGTATCTGCTTATTCTGACATGTCCTTATTCCTGCTAGTGTGTCCTTCATGCCTGTGTGTGAATAGAGGCTTTTGCTGTAACTGGCAGCTAAGGAAACTGAGGTGCTGGAGATGGGGTGAGTCTCCTTGTTTGTCTGAGAGGACACCCTATTGTCCCCTGGCTGTGGGATGTTTGTGCTCCCGTGAGTAGCAAGAGAGGAGGCCAGCCAGGGTGTGGCTTCCGGAGCCACCAGCAGTGTGTCCTCAGACAGGCCTGACTGTCTTCCTTTTCCTTTAGGAAGCTAGAGGTGATAATAGGAATGCAGGGCTGTGTGAAGTAACACAATCAGGACCACGGACAGCGCAACGCCAGAGGAGCCCCTGGATTGCCACGCAGTGTGGCAGGATTGTCCTGGAGGGCTGCGGTTCTCTTTCTGCAAAGGAATGGAGCTTGGTTTGCTAGGGTCTTTGAGAACGTCTGCCTGCAGTTGTTTGCCAGGCCTGCCGTAACAAAATATCGTGTAGTGTCTGGGTTGGTTGATACACGGGTGTCAGCGTCTCGGGGTCCTGGAGGCTGAGGGTCCCAGGTGGCAGTGGGGCCAGCTTCTCTCTCTGGCTCGTAGGTGGCTGTCTTCTCCCTGTGTCCTCACATGATCTTCCCTCTGTGTAGCTGTCGTGATCTCTTCTGATAATAACCCCAGACCCTCCCTTTGACCTTGTGGTGCCTTACCATCTCTGTTGGGACTGTCTTTTCAAATTCAGTCCTATTTTGACAGAAATGCTCAGAGTTAGGAACTTCAGTGTGTGGATTTTGGTGGATACAAGGCAGTCTGTAGCCAGTGTTCAACACTAGACCCCCAACAGCTCTACCGCTCCCCTCTCTTTATAAAGGTGGGGGTCTGCGCATCCTCCTCTGAGTAAGTGACCACCTTTGAATATCCTGACTAGAAAGTGGAAGCGCTTATACACATCTCTTTTGCTTGGTGGTCAAGGTGATAAAATCATATGCATGGAGGCCTTTTCTGTTCCAATCACTTGTAGAATTTAGCCCGTGAGGTGAGTTACTCTCATCAATCTTAAATTAGCATGGACACATTAAAGAAAATTGGGAAGTGCAAGTAATTAAATCTCCTTTCATTTTGACCTATAGTAAGGGCAAAGTGACTTAAAATGGATTGCAATGATTCGGAGAATATGTCTGAGGAATGCTGATGGGCTTCAGATGGAAACATTAGTGTTATGAATTATTTTTCTTTGTGGAAGTTTTAATTGATTAATGCTTTCATGTACATCGTGCTCTTTCTCTTATTTGGTGATCCATGCAAACATCAAAGATAGGCAAAGAAAAGCCGTGGCAAGATAGAGTGGCCCTGTGGGGTCGGGGGAGGTGAGACTTTACTCTGGGGAATATTCAGCGATTATTCAGAAATGGTTTATAGATTCCCTCTTGGCATCTTGGGGGAGTGTATGTGGGGGTGCTAGCAGATAGCCTGACTCAGGTCAAGGAGGGAGATTGGGAGCTTGTCTCAGGGCTGATACACTGTTCCCAGGGCATTGCTGGTTTGTGTATGGGTTGCATGTTGAGAACGCTAACATTAAATACCATTCAGAGAGGATCAAGATGTGTATGTACATTTGTCATTCTCTTGTTATTAATGTATTTATTGTATATCACAAATATATATTAAAAAGGAGGGCTGTTTTTATATTAATGAATTAAGATATTCTATTACAGAGCCCTCATTGCCACAGAAAAATGCATAGTTCAACTGACTTTAATCGTATCTTACCGTTCAGGAGCCTTTGGGTTGAGGAAGCCGTGGTATTTCCCCCTGACTGCCTCATATTGGAAGAGCATGTGTGGCTTGGTGGAGAAACAGCGACAGTCTCTCAGCTCTAGTCTGTTCTTTTTCAATGAGGACTTCGGCAATAAAGGTTTGTAAAGGAGCAATACTGCTGAATGACGGAGATCCACCCCCTGCCCCACCCGGAGCAGTTCTCCTGTTCCATCTCTGTGAGAGCCTGTCGCTTTGAAGCGCTGCTCTCTGTCTCAGTGACAGCTACAGCGTGACATTGAGGCCAGAGTCCCCTGGCCCTGTCCAGTGTTCATCATGTCAGAAAACCCAGAGTGGCTCCTGTTTTGTGCAATTTATTACTTCTATTACTGGAATTTGCATATCTAAGAATTCTGTGAAATGAAAGTATTGGTCCGAAAGGAATATGTAAAATACCAGAAGCTGAAGTTGGGATCTTTCAGGTAGAGTGCTTGTGAAGCGTTCGGGGTTTCCCCCGCCACCTGTCCACTGGCTTCATGACGGTGGGAGTTTCTCTTCTACTCACAAATGAGAAATTCTCAGGGTGCTTTAAGGCTCTCAGGAGACAGGGACAGAACAGGCCCTGTCCCTCTGCATTCCATTCAGGGCCCGTCCTGTGGGCTGGGCACACACTCTTTGGTGAAAGGACCACTCAGGGAATCCAAGTGTGAACCAGTGAGCCCCTGTTATGGCAGCTGTGTACTGTAGGTCAGTATCCGAAACTCAAGTTTTTCCTGATTAAACAAGTAAACTATGAACCTTTTAGAAAATTTGCAGCATGTCAGCCAGCGCGTATCAACTCTTAGCTCCAGAGAGCATTTTTTAGGGACACTTTGGGGTATAATGAATCTGCCTGTTATTTGGTGTCTGCACCTACATAGATTCCCGTAGGTGTCTTGTTTATTCTTTTGCAAACTGGGCTTTGTCGTCTGTGATTTCCTAGTCTGGTCATTGTATAACTTCCTCCCCACTTTGAACAAGATGTTAGAACTTTGGGGCATGTTTCACAGAGCTGGAGTTCTGTTGCAAAGACAGCAGTGAATGCGTGAGTGCAGACACTGTTTTGGGAGCTTTCAAAATCATCTCAGGATAAAGTTTCATCTTCCTCACAGGCTCGTCCCAGCCAAACAGGGGAGGAGAGCTTGAGCGAGGGCCTCTCGGGGTTGCCCTGGTGTCTGTCACCAAGAAGTATGAGGGCTGCAAGATGGCGGTGCAAGACTTGACCCTCACCTTCCACAGGGGTCAGATCACTGCCCTCCTGGGGGCCAACGGCGCCGGGAAGACCACTGTCATGTGAGTTCTCCCTACCTCCCTTTCCTTCTTGAAGATATCAGTTTATCTGGGACATAGAAGCGTTACTTTTTTTCTTCTTTCAGAGTCACAGGACAGAGTCAGAGACCCAGGAGAGAGCTCTGACTCCTAGAACGGCCCTGGGCCCTTACACCACAATCGAATTTTAGGCCCACAGTCAGAGGAAAGGATGGGTGGACTGTGCTTTAGAAGATTAGTTCTTTTAAAAAAACAAAACAAATGATTTATCATGTTTTATCTTAAACTTTGAAAGTCCTTTGACACTTTTAGTTTCTGTTGTACTAAGTGTAATTTTGCTTGTGTGTCTGTAAACATGATGAAAAGGAGAAGCATATTTGCGAATCCTTTAATCACCTTTGTTTCATGTTTGTTGTTGTAAGGCTTGCTTCTTGGTTTAGCATCCAAAAGCTCCAGATTTGATTAAAGAACCCAGTCTCATGAACCATCTCCCTCCCAACCAAGAAGCAATAAAGTCAGATGTCAATGGTCTCCCCTCATCATGTCTGATGGTTTGTTCGAGTAGCACTAACTATCAAAATCATGGACTATGTTTCAACAAATCTCTTTTTTTCACTATATATAAAGAATTAACATATGATTAGTGAAAACAACAAAACAGTCTTTACCCCAATCTTACTGAGACAGATAGAAAACCAAAACATATAAGGGTTTAGAAGTCACCTTGGAAACAAACTGGGAAGATATGAGCTGTTTTTCTTGCTTGAGTGCTGAAATAGAACTGACTGAAAAACTCTCTGAGATTTTCTTTTTCTTTCTTTTTTTTAGTGTCTGCAAATTGGGCAGCACAAGTTTGCAAATACTAACTTGAAAAGCTAGCATTGCATATCCTGCTTTTACTGACAACAACGTTTCCTGCAAGGAAAACCCAGGGTTCTTGTGGAGCAGAATGATGCAGACTGCATCTGGGGTTTCTGGGTGTTTCAGGGTCATCAGCCTGAGTTGCTTTTAGTGACCCCTTGAAGTACATTTTGAGTCAGCCTAAGTGCCTGTGTCTTCCTGGCTGGGTTTAGATGAGAGGCCAGTGAATGAACCTGGTCCTTGGCAGGCATTTAAAACAAAAACCTTTGAGAGCCAAGCAGAACAGGGAGAACTAGCCCTCCCTGTCCATCGCTCTCAACCACAATTCAACCAACTGTGGATTAAAACTATTTGAAAAATATTGCACCTGTTCTGAATGTGTACAGACTCTTGTCATTATTTTCTAAACAATAGGACAACTCTTTACTTAACATTTGCATTAGGTGTATCCTAGGTGATCTAGAGAATTAATGTAGAATTAATATAGGAGATGGATGGCACAGATTACTTGTAAATACTGTGCCCAGTTTCTGGAGGAATTTGAGCAACTGTAGACTTTGGCTTCCATTGGTATCTGGAAGCAGCTCCAGAGGGTACCCAGGGAGCACTGTATGAACTTTACAATCATATTCCCAAAACGGCTTAAAATGCTACAGTGAAGACTTGATTGTCGAGTTGATCGAGATACAATTTGTGGGTAGTGGACAATTCATGAGTAGTATCCGTGTGCACAGTGCCCTGAGTTTGAACACATTTACTTCATGCCTACAGAAGCCCCAGAGTGAGGGCATGGTGCACTCTATCTTCCTCTAAGACTCCCTCTATACCCTGTGGCCCGGCTCCCAGTGGATACTGGTGTGCTGACCATCCCTCTGTGCTGATTTACTCATCTAGAATTTCCTGCCAGTGGAATTGAGACTGGCTTTGTTCACCCAGCCTGTCCATCCTTGGGTGTCATCTCCTAGCAGCTTGGTCCTGTGATTGATGAGTGCTGTCCTGCTGCATGGGGGCCCTATGGTTTGACTCCCTTTCCTGTGTTGGTGGCAACTGCCTCTATTCCCAGTTTTCAGTTACAGTGAGCAAAGCTGCAATGAGTATCTGCACCTTCCCAGGTACTGCCCCTGCTTTAATTTCTCTTGCATAAAAACTTAGGAGTAGGTTTTCTAGAGCCAATAGTAGGTGCATGCTTAGCTTTTTATACATCAGAAAACAGCTTAGAATGCAAATAAATGATAAGCTTCTTGAGTCAGGGAAGAGAAGTAGCAACTCTCAGGTTTCTTGCGGTGCAGTCAAGTGAGTGATTTCCTGGGCACTGGGCACATGGGTTCTTTGATACAGATGGTCCCAGACAGAAGAAGAAAAGCTTGGGACTGCTTGGAGTCTAGGTTGGCATTTCTATTTCCTTATGTCAAATGATGAGAACTTTGGTAAATACATGGTTTTAAAAGTCTGTACCCTTCTCTATAAAAGCAAAGCTGGAATTTCATCCCAGAGTCTGGGTGGTCTTTACCTCAGGGTATCCTGTGGAACATAGGCATCATCACGTGCATACCTTTCCAGAACTGACCACCTCCCAGCTCTTTGCTGATTGGCGGCAGATGGGTTGGCGGAAGGAAGGTGTGTGTTCTACACCAGGGTCACCCTGGGTCACTGGCATTCAGTCTCAGCTATGCACAAGTTCCACACCGATTCACGCTCCTGCATCTGTCTCCCTCGGCAGATCCATGTTGACTGGGCTCTACCCCCCAACTTCTGGAACCATCCTCGTCGATGGCAAGAACCTGCAGACAGACTTGCACAGCATCCGAGCAGAGCTGGGTGTGTGTCCACAGCGGGACGTCCTCCTGGACAACCTCACCGTTTGGGAGCACCTGCAGCTCTTTGCGTCCATAAAGGTGCCACAGTGGACCAGGAAGGAGCGGCAGCAGCAAGTGAATAAGTGAGTAGATGTCTCTCGCCTTCCTCACTCCACCCAGGCCACTTCCCGGAAATGAAAGTGATAGAAAGAGACATTGTACAGTCGTCTGTGTCTGTGCGCAGAGTGGTTTCAGCTGTGGGACTGTGGCACAGCCAGCAGCACTGGGGATCTGAGAAGGCTTTGCAAGTGTGATGTCGAATCCTCTTTGTTTATCTTTGGTGGGGGGCAGAGCCGAGCAGACGCGGGAAGTGTGAGAGGCTGCGGGTGGAGGTTGGTGTGTCTGGAGCAGAGTCCTGTGGGTGTCCCGAAATAAAAAGAAAGCAAAGGCAGGCAAGAAACTGGCTGGGAAGAGCCTTACTAGATGTGCAGGGGTTTGGAACTTGGTCCTGCAGGCAGGTGCTGAGTGTGGCGCTGTGACTGGCCTGACACATGGAATGGAGGTCTTACTGCACCACAGCATGCAGCCCAGACATGGGGGACCGGGCACGACAGGCCATATCCCTTGTTATTTGCTTCTCCACCACTGGAAGCAGAGGTGTCAGGAGTACTAATAATAGATCAGCAGACATGGGAACATGAACCACACTGTCCCAGGCCAGCAGACCGTGGAGAAGATTCTGGGCTGGAGCACAGTTTGGGCTGGGTCATAAGAAGACTGTGGAGTGTGACTGAATGGAGAGGTCCTTAGGAGGCTATGACAGTGATCCAGGGGGGGTGGGTGCTGGGCAGTTCTTGGGGAGGGTCAGCTTTGCGGAAGTGAGCAGAGGAGTTGAGAAAGCAGCCAGGGCGCACCCCTGGTGGGCCTGGAGGATGTGCTGATGGGAGGAGCACGATGGTGGGGACCACAGGAGTGGTCTCATGCAATGGTCTCTCCCCGGGAGACTCGGAGGGAGGGCTTCCTCCAGTTTGCAGATGATGCAGCTGCGGTTTAGGGGATGGGGCCATGTGGCTCACACCAGGGAGCGAGGGTGTGGCCCAGGTGGCTCTGTGCCTAGCTGCACTGGGCTGTTGTTTTCTGGGATGCTTGCTGTGTTATAGCACATGGGATGGAGGCCTCCGGGAAGGCGGGATCTGCTGGGGAGAGGAAGGGGTTCCTCTCGCATGTGGCTGTGTTATTGCCCTGCTGCCCTGTGGACAGCCCTCAGGGCCCTCTGGTCTAGGAAGTGAGGGTGACTTGCTTCCAGCTGCTCCCCCGGTTCCAGTGAGTGGGGGTGATGAGCCCCTGGCCCCATGTGGGCTGACAGAGTTCACAATACTCATCCCTAGGTGGACATAGTCCCACAGGGTTAGGGATGCTCTTGTTAGACAGAAACAGACCCAGAAGGAGGTGGAGGTGGAGGCCCATATTACTCAGGGACCAGGGTGTGCGGGCAGAGCCTGGGAAAGAAAGCACGACCACTGCTCCATGGAGAGCAGCCCTAGAAAGTGGCTTTGGCCTCCCGATGGGTGTGCCACAGCCCCAGGTGATGTCCCCCAAAGTGTCTATGTGTTCAGATGGTCTCCCCTTCAAGTAGATGGCTGTGTTTAGACACCAGCCAGGACAACCAAAGCCCCGTCTGCACAGATGCTCACATGGTGAGGTCGGATGCAGGTTACAAAGCCTCCAGGAATGGGGTCTGTTGTGGACAGTGGCACATATTACCACAAGGTTAATTTGAATAGTTCTCTTTTCATTTTCCCTAGTTCAGAGTTGGCACACAAAGAAGGTATTGTCTGCTCCAAGGTGGGCTGGTCCATATGCCATGATGTCTTCAGAAGTGGCTGAGCGGTCATCGTCACCTAATGACAAGCAGGCTCTTGCATGCACAGGGAAATGTTAGTGTGGAGCAAAGAGATTTATTTTAAGTTTGAGTGAGTACCTCGTAAGAGGTAGCCAGGTATTGTGTGGATTCCATATTTATTACCTGATAAGAAATTGATAAAACGTACAGCCTGATCTCATCTATAAAGGAAAACACAGGCCACCTGTTCTAATTTTAAAAACCCTGTCCACCCTGGGCCACAGTCCACCCTGCTATGATTGCAACTGAGGCTTAAATTGAGCACCTACCAGTGCCACATAGCCCTCATCCTCTTCTCTGGGCACCAGGCAACCTTAATGGTTATCAATTCCCTGCATGTTGCCTGGCAACCAAGCCAGTGTGCACAAAAGCAATCAGAGCGAGATCATGTTTTAGGACAGTAGTTCTCAATTAGAGGGAAGGAAAACTGAAAACATCAGATTCACAGCCACCGTCCTTCTTATTTGCATCCGTAGCACTGTTTTCCTTCATGCCGAGCTTTGGAGCTTTGTTAAAATGGGAACTTAAGGGAGGTAGTAGCCCTCGGGGGGGCTTACGAGTGAACCTTTGTCATGAAGCGGGTCATCACTATCTTGTTCTTACTTTGGCTTGGAAAAGATAGGAGTCACCAAGAGAGGGCCACCCTCAAGCCTTTAAGTCAGCGGGCAGTGTTTATGTACCTGAGCTTACCTCTGAGAGTCCTAGAGCTCGCTGTGGAAGTCAGGCTGGTTTGGAGTAGAGTGGTTGAAGAGGACATGCGTGCAGGTAGAGTGGAGAGAGGGCCATGGGTTCAGCATGGACACCCTAACACTATGGTGATGTGGCAAGGTGAGGAAGCAGCCAAGGAGGCAAGAGGAGAGCCCCGGGAAGGAGTGCGGGGGGAGCGGACCAGTTCCACCAAGGAGCAGGGTGCCATGGAGGGTCCAGTGAGATGGGACTAGGACTGACCCCAGGATGCGGTAGGCTGAGGCCATCACAACATGATGGGGTGCAGATCTTACTGGAGCCAGCTAAAGAGGGCAGGCAAAGAGAAAGGTTGGTAACAGCACATCTCCCCAGGGATTTTCCTACACAAAGGAGCAGACAGACTGAGAGGAGGATGCTTCAGAATATCATTATGTCCGGGCATTGCCAAGCTTTCCAGCTGGAAGCATGGACATGGCTGACACAGGACAGAGAGGGACCTAAAGAGGGAGCAGCTCTCCTGAGCCTGTGTAGATTGCAGGAGGTGAGGCAGTGTGTGGACCTTGAGTCCATGTCAGTGCTTTTCAGGGTTAAAGGTGCTTGGAAAGAGATGGTAATGATTCTGGCGTAGACATAAAGCCTAGAGGAAAAAGGAAGCAAGAAAGTACTCCCAGGGAGGAGGAACAGTGGAGGCCTGATTTTTGTGGAGTGAGTGATTGCTGTGTGGAGAGTGACTGAGGAGCTGTGGTTGGGTTGCCACGGGTGGCAGGGTGTGAGGCACGAGTGGTGAGAAGAACGGAGGCTAAGGGAGGATGTTCTGCTCTGGGTAGTAAGAACCCCACGGGGGCAGGGATGAGAATAAGACTGGAGAGAGGGGCAGGGCGCAGGGCGGACTCAGGCATGGCTGGATGCCTGCGACAACAGGCAGTGGTGATGGCCCTGGTGGGTGACAGTCCAGCCTGGACCAGTGGGGCTAGCAGAGAAGATGAAGGCAGTCGCCACCCCACATGTAGGCCCTGGGGAGGAAGGAGCCAGCCGTCACAGGAAGGGGTTTGTGATGGTTTGCAGTCCAGCCCAAGCTCCCCTCTCCTCTCAGCTGAGGACATCACGTGGTTCTCTCTGTACTTTAAGGACAGATTCTTTTTCCCCGCATATATACCATTCTTTCCCCGAGTCCTGCCAAGTGCTTCCCTGCTCTTTTTGGAGTGCACTGTTCAAATACACACTGCATCCAGTCATGCTGTCCACCTCTGGAGTCTGAGGGCCTCCCAAACACCTCGCTCATCTTTGATTACAGTCATGTGTCTGATTTTCCCACTAGGCCCAGAATTTCTTGAATCAAAGTCAAGATTCTGTTCCTCTGAGCCTTGCAAGTGGCGGGTGCCATCCATTGTGCTAGGAGCCTGCTAAATATTTGTGAAATGCATGGAGGGCCAAAGTGCAGCCTCTAAAACATTACAGGACTCACAGTTGGGACTTTATCTGAGAAAAGTATTCCCCATTTCCCATTGCGTAGCAAAATTCTTCCAGTAGAGTTTTCCCGTCCTTTGGAAAAGGAATATGGAAAATTTAAATGCACAAAGATTATTTTTTTTTGGCATGTTACAGATCCATAACTAGAACAGTACTAGCTCCTACCTAATCCTAGACCTTAAAATGAAAGAAAGAGTTGTAGGGTAAAACCATTTGGCCCGCGTTTACGCACCATTTTGTTCATTAAAGTGCAATCCAAGCATTTGAATCCTGACTGTAAAACAGCAGAAAGGAGAGGAGCGGGTTTTGTAGGATCTCCTCTCGGAACGGGTCCCCGGACGTTGTTTTGCTCTCCCCAGACCACAGCTCAGTAGCGCAGAGCCTTAGCAAGGCACCCTTCCATGGAAACAAGTCAAGGCCCTGACCCTCCTTGGGATTGGTGGGTGTCGCATTCATGGATGTATGGTCTGTTCTGGGAGGCAGACGGAACAAGGTGACTGCTCTGTCCTCGGCAACTGCCAGTCCACTCTGGCAGGTGGGAGGAGAGGCAGTGAACAGGTATGTCTGACGGCGCATGGTGCTGGTGAAGGCACGTCTTGGCTTCTGAGTCCAGCCCCAGAGTGTAATCTCTGCATCTTGGTTGTCCCAAATAACATGTGTTCTCAGAGTGGAAAGACCCTTCTCAGGAGGTTGTGTGAATTATGGTCATTCACACATACAAAGCACTAAGAATAGTACCTGATACATGGCACGTGTCTAATCAACGTTAATTATGATCATCCAGGATTGTTGCTAAAATTAAAAAATAGTGAACTGACTGGGATTCCTTCTGTGGAGAGAATTTATGAGGTGAATACGAGACATTCTTTAAATCCATAAGCGCATTGCACTGCACTGCGACCTGAGAAGATCCTGTTTGGAGTTGGACTTGCCCAAGACCAATGACTGTCTGTCTCGTCAGCGCCCTCTGGCGCTGTCTGCTGTTTCTGCAGTATTTACCTCCTTGTGCTCTACTTGGTTACAGACTCCTGATCTCTCCGCAGGGCCCAGGTCTGCTGGAGAAGGGCTCAGGCTAAGTTGCTGCTCCCCCCACCCCCCAGGAGCATGCTCTCGCACTAGCACCTGCATGTCCCCATGTGCAGTCTGTGAGAGTTTATAAAATTCTCATGAGTGAACCAGATCCATCCTTACTCCTTCTGCCTGAATGAATGACAAGTACATTCAGCCTTAAGGTGAAATCATATGATTTGCTTACACTGTGTGTTGCACTGTCTGGGTGAAGGTGCTGGGACAGACCACACAGGGAGAGACAAAGTGGTGCGGGCCTAAAGCACTGCTGAATCACGAAGCCAGGCCTAGAAGGGGAGCCCGACTTTCAGGCTGGCCAGGTTTGCAGTGAGGCTGCACAGTGAGGCTACCCAGCAGGCAGTCTAGGCCGCCAGAGTGGTGCTAGACAGAGGAGGGGGTTGGTCTCACCTGCAAATAAGATCAGAACACCCATGTTTGAGAATAGATGAATTTGCCAACTTGTCTGCTTGTCTGTCTTCTCTGCGGTGTGTCTGGCTCAGGGTTAGCAGATTCGCATCTGCTGTGTGGAGCATCCAGTGGGCAGTGCTGGGAGATGGTGAGGCCGAGGCAGTGCTTGATGCAGCCCAGCATTCTTCATCTTCCTTGTGTCAGTGGGACACTGTCGGCCATGACACCGTCCTGGCTGGACTCACTGATGCCCGGTCTGGGCCCTGGATATCTGGGGTGCTGCCTTTGCTCATCCACTCCCAACCAGATAGGGGAGATACCTGAGCAGATGGGAAAGTGAGCTTATTCACAGTTTGGCCAGATCAAGAGGTCAGCCAGCTTAGTCTCCTGTGAACCACAGAAACAACAGCTCACAGCAGGGGTAAAACAAAAGCCAGGGAGTAGCTGCAGATTCACATAAGCTTTGGCCCTGAGGGGTGGAAGCTCTGACTGCTTCTGGGCCTCTGGGCTGGGAGTGGTAGCAGGTAACACTTTCTACTTGAAGAAGCTTGGAGAAAATTCTCTTCATTAAGTAGCCTAAAGTTTAGAGGCCCATTTTAACCTCTGGGTTACAGGAGCACTTGAAAAGCAGGGCATGCTTTAGTGCTGGGAACTTAGGTTGGAGCCAAAGCAGCAGAAAGCATACTTAGAGACTTGTGCTATGGGCTGAAAACTGGACTCCAAAAAGCTGGGTGAAGCTCTTTTGGGGTCAGGATGGAAAGTGTGTGAATAATGAAGTGCACATGAAAAATTTACACGGTCACCAGGCAAGTGAGTCCTTGGGTCTCCTTCAAGTCTCTGCTTAGAATTCTGGAATGTTCCAGGACTTGGCTGTTTGTGAAGCTTGGCTGTAAGAGCTGTTGTAGGCATACAGCTGATGTTGCTCTGTGGCTGCCTGACTGGGAAGAGCCCTTCAGCTCTGGGCTCTTGGGAGTCACGCAGGCCTGGGGCCCCTGGGGAGCGGACCATAGGGCACGAGAGGTCAGGGTAAGGTGTCTGAGAAACATGGGGTCTTCCACAACGGTGGGCTACTCATTCACAGGGAGTCAACAGGGCCAGCTGGAGTGAAGAGGGGACAGCGAGTGAGAGCGGAGGAGGAGGGCGGGGCTTCACACAGGGCAGTGTTCCGATAGGAGCCCGGCATCTGGAACACTCAAGACTGAAAGGTCCCTGAGAACAGAATGCGTACTCTGGCTTTCGTGGCAACTGGTGATTTGTGCTTTGCCTGTATCCTGCCGCAGAACTTCCGGACTACTCAGGAAGTTGTGGTGGTACAGATTATGCACATGGTGGGCCAGAGAGCTCAAGGCCTTCCCTGGTGAGTGCTGGGGCTTGGATTCTTCTGACACTGTGCTCCGTCCTGCCCCGTGGGGACACAGGTCCCTCCCTATCAGCAGTGTGCATAGCCCAGAGCTCGTGCCTCCCGAGGGAGGGGCAGACCAGAGCACCTCCCAGTGCTGTACCAGGCAGGCGCTGCCAGCCCACATCACCTTAATCTGTTGCACGTCTGGCAGGGCTGGCTGCTCCAAGTCTGCGACACCTCTGTAGAGTTCACCCTAAGCCCCTCCGATGTACTTGTGGCTTATGTGGGTTTTGACCACCGTAACTTTCATGCATGAAGTGAAATTCACATCAAAGCCTTCAGGTATTCAGGGAGAAGACTGAGGGCTTTTTTATTATTTCAGAACTCTTGAGGACACGGGGCTCATTCAGCACCAGCACAAACAAACCCGGGCCCTGTCTGGAGGCACAAGGAGGAAGCTGTCCATTGCTGTTGCTTTCCTGGGCCAGTCGAAGACTGTGGTCCTGGATGAGCCCAGCAGTGGGGTGGATCCTTGCTCCCGCCGCAGCCTCTGGGACATTCTGCTCAAGTACCGGGAAGGTAGGAGCTGGGCTTTGCTCTATTTCTGTCCCAGGATGTTGAGGTACGGGGGTGTGAAGAACCAAGTCACACCCTAACAACTCTCTGTCATTTGCAGAACAAGTGCAGCCTTCACAAAAACTGAGAGTGACACAGTCATTAGACTGTGCCTCTGTAACTTCAGCATCGTTCACTTTGTACTTGACCTTTGAACTCAGTATTAGCAACAACACGGTCAGTGAACATCACCATGCATGACTTCACTGAAGCTGTGTTTGTCGCATACTGCATCCCACTCTGGAAACACTCATCATTAGAGAAAGCCTTCAGAGGTCATCCGGGACAGACCTTCCTGTGTTAGTTCGCTTTCTGCCACTGTGACAAAATACCCCGGGGAGTAACCGATAAGGAAGAAAGGTTATTGGGCTCCTGGGTTCAGAGGTTTCAGACCATGGTCGGTTTGGCCTGTTGTTTGGGCCTGTAGTGCCTCACTACATCATGGTGGGAACATATGGAGAAGCAGAATGCTGACACCAGGGTGGCCAGGAAGCAAGGAGAGAGACAGTGAAGGGCTGGGTTCCTCCTGACATCCTCCTCAAGGGCACACCCTCCCATGACCTAACTTGCTTCCACTTAGTGTCATCTCCTAAGGCGTCCACCCCTTACACCGGCACCACAGGCTGGTGATGGAGCCTTTAGCAGATGGGCCTTTGTGGACAGTGAGGATCCAAACCATAGCAACTGCTTGTCCAGATGGAGAAACTAAGTCACAGAGCTGTGTGTGTGTGTGTGTGTGTGTGTGTGTGTGTGTGTGTGTGTGTGTGATGTGCTCACAGCTGTAGAGAAAATTCCCTGATCCCAGAGGAGAATGGAGGTCTCTGGCTTAGCAGGTCCATATTTCTCCTTTCCATTGTTGCTCATTTCCAGTCAGGGGCATTAGACGGGTGCTTACTGGCTTCTGGCTTCGGACTCTTTCTTCTATCCAGATGGCACAGAAGTGCTGCCATAGGGACTGTTAGAAATATTTTCCTTTGCAAAGAAACCTGGGTGGTCCTGAAACATCTTGGTGCTGGTAAACAAATGTAGGTGCTTCAGAGACAAGATGAATACAGAATCTTACAAAATGCTGTTTTGCTTTTTGTTTCCTCTTTTCCAGCCTAAGGCTTTCTCCTGACTACTTTCCTGGGGCTAGATAAGGATTTGTTCCTGAAGAAAAGCAAACTGAAAGAATGGGAAGGCTGTCCCGTTTTAAGCAGACAGAGGGCTGAGCCTGAGGGCTCAGTGTCAGTCTCATAGAGGACAGGGTCCTGTGGGTCCCCGAGAGCCGACCTACCTCAGGCTGGGGCAAGAAAAGGGAAGGATAGGACAGAGGGCACTGCAGGAACAGTCCTGTTCTCTCTGTCTCCATTCTAGAGGAGTCACACAAGGAGAGGACAGAGAAGCTATGGGAAAATGGAGCAAGCACGTGTGGTGTTTTGCTCTATTCTGGCTCTGGCTTGGGCTGGGCAGGTGCAGGAGAAAGTGTGGGTCTTGCGGGTGGCACTGGGTCCTTGGCCCTGCTACGGCCATGTCACAGTTCCTGAGGCTGGGCAGACTGCTGGGAGCCAGGGGGTTTCCTGCCTGCTTCCGGCCCTGGGCTCCGCATGGAGGGGAGCGTGGAGGCTGCAATGCAGAAGGAGCTTGGCACTGGGCGGCTGGAGGCCAGGGATTTTTGACAACAAGGACCTGAGACCAGGGGAGTCAGTGGATACTCTGCTCCTGAGCGAACCTGGGGCTCCCTAGCCATGCTGAAGATGCTAAGAGGGGAGAGGATGGACCGCCTGGGCTCCATCGTCACCCAGACAGCAGAGGGGCTGATCATGATCTCCCCAAGCATCCACCCACCCCAAGCCTCCTCGCCACTTACCCTCATGCTCTTCACGGAGAGGCATAGAAGGCACAGAAATGAGGAAACAGGAAATAGTGCAAGACACAGACTGCCACAGAGAGGAACTGCGTACATTTTGAGAAGAGACTAATTTGTGTTAGACCCTGCTGTAAAGAAGACGGATGAGATAGACAAACAGATCCCATGACTTCTGTTTCTGTGGATCATCTTGTGAAATAAAGGCGGCGAGTCCACCTCTCTTGTTTATTTTAAAAATTAGAGGTGTATTCTTACAGGTTTAGTTGTCAGAACATTTGAGGAATCAGCATAAATCTTGTTTTGGACAGAAATCCAGAGACAGTGCACATCAGAGAAAAAGAGCGCTTTCTCCAAATTGTTACAAGTGAGATATTATCGTCTTAGTGTCATTTGTTGGTTAGCAAGGAGGCTGTCTTCGGAGGGCTCTTCTTGGACCTGTCCCTGCGCTGGTTGAAGTATAAGTGGATTAGATGGGCAGTACTGTCTCAAAACATGGGAACGTATAGCCACTTCTACCTGACACTTCGGACCTTCAGGGTTATGGACGCAGCTCTGAGAGACAGATCTGAGACAGCGAAGAGACAGTGTCACCTCCGAGTAGACAGACACTTCTGTCCCATGAGGGGCGTGCTGAGCGCTCCGTCTGCCAGGGATTCTGCCTGTGGATTTCCTGTTTAGTGGAGTGCACTTTGGAACTCTAGGCCCTGGGGCCAGTGCTTCCAGGCCTCTCACAGTAAGACCAGTAAAGAGGCAGAAGATGCCAGAGAAAATTCAGACACAACAGCTAAATTCCACGACTAGACTCTGGGCTTGCTGTGTGTGTCTTATGTGACCCTGGAGAAAGGTCAGACTCCTCTGAGCTTCGGTTTTCTCATCTGGGAATGGAGACAATCGCATTGTGTCCCAGGAGTTTGCAAGAAATAAACATCTCTCTGTGAAAGCTCGTAGCTCAAACAAGACCCACGGCAGGTCATCATCTTCAGTATTAAAATCTGCAAGTGAAGGTGACCCCAGGAGATACAATGGAGGGAGGTGTGGAGGATTCACTAAAGGTCAGCTTGGAGCATCCAGCTGCACAGAATCAGTGTGGCTAGGCATGGAGGATCCCCTGAGGATTGCTGCCAAGGGCATAAAAAGAGAAATGGAGGGGAAGACGGTGAGCTGCTGATTTTCTAGAAGCTGGCTGTAGATGGTTTTGCTGATGTGAATTTGGCTGTTCTCATCATCATCCAAGCTTGGGGCCTTGCTGTCGCTGGGAGTGGGTGCTGTTCTCATCAGGGGAGCTCTGATCTTCATCGTGAGCATTGCTTCCTGGCTCCGTTGTGGATCCCTCAGCCCGGTGGCACAAACCCTGCACCCTGCTGCTGGTGGAGACTTTTTAGTTTCCACCACTGGCCTTGGGCCTTTTCAGTGCAGGTTCTCTATATGGACAAGTGTGAGACACTGCTGTGGACTCTGGGCCTTCCGCTGGGCTCATGCGGACACTGCTGGGGATCCAGGCCCACAGCTGGATCCTTTAGGTCTCCAGTATGTAGACAGAGCTCTTGTACTCCTCAGCATTTGACTTTTTGGGTAAATAGTATAAAATAATCCTGTAAAGTATGTGTCCTGTTTTAAGTCTATTCCCTTGCAAGCACCAGTCAAATTCTGTCTTAGTTACTTTTCTCTCCTTGCTGAGACAAAATACCTGATACCCAAAGTTAAAGTGGGGAAAGGTTTATTTGGCTTATAGTTTATAGAGATTTCAGTCTATAATCTTTCTACCTCCAAGGCAGGGTGGCAGAAGACAGCCAAAGCAACAAGGGGCCCTAACTGTGTCTTTCTGCCCCTTTTATCCCATCCAGACTGCCAGGATGAGGGCAGTGCCAAACCAATCACTCACATGGTTTACTGCTCACATGCCCTTCATCCTAGCCTCAGACATTCCCGATTCAGCCACCTTTGAAAAAGGAAGTCCCACCTCATCCGCCTGAGGCTTTGGGGAGCATCCAAACACAAACCGTAACAGGAGGAGAGGAGGCTATGCTGTCAGAATCAGGGAGAGAAACAGTCAAGTCTCCGGGAGAGTGGAGTAAGGACGTTGTCCTTGTGGTTCTGCAGTTGTCCATAATGTCACCTGAGACCATCACAGACTGAACATCTGTGCCCTCAGCACAAACCCTTTCAGAGTGTGTGTTCCAGTTCCAGCTCTGTTAAGGTGTGGTCAGTGGAGGAAACTTGTTGATGTTTATTCCGTACAGCAAGGTGTTGTGATACATGTAAGCATTGCAGAGTGACCAAGTTAAGGTCATTAAAATTTTATTCCATCACCTCAAAACTCCTTTGTTACCTGTGTGCCACGGATGTTGCAGGTCCACTCCCCAGCAGCTCTCATGTACAGGATGCACAAAGACACGCGACATTAGTAACGGCAGTCACTCAGCAGGCTGCCGCATCTCACACTGCGGAACATTTGCATCGTGCGGAACTGAGGCTTTGGCCACTGTCTCCCCACTCCTCCCGTCAGCCCTCACATTTCTGGCAACTGCTGTCCTACCTGCCACTCGGGGAATCTAGATTGAGTGGACTGTTGATTCTGGACTTCTCCCACATCATGTTGAGGGCACGGTGGCTCCAGGGAAGGTATCGACCTGCGAGCACTGAGCAGATTTTCTCAGTACCAGAGAACTAACAGGCAGAGATGTCTGTCCTGTGCTTGACTCCTCTCTAGCAAGGAGCCGGTCCCTGCTGCTTGAGTTTGCCCTTCACACTTTCTGTCTGGATGGATTTTTAAACAGCAAATGAGAGTCCTAGTATTTTAATCCTTCTCCACTGATGAAAAACAAATAATTGAGTAGAGCTAAAACCACATTCAGCTTTCTCCCTCGGCCCATTTGCCTCTGCAGTCAGGACCCACCATGTTTATCGACGCGACAGCACAGATGACAACACAGGTGGGGAGCACGGCTGAGAGCTGCGCCGTCTTCTCTGTGCGCAACCGAAGTGAGCTCTGTGCGGAGGCCTTTAGCTCCTCTGGCCTCTGCTCCCCTAAGGTGGATCGGAGGCCTTTGCTGCCCAAGGAGAGGTGATAAAAGCCAGCGAGGTGCTGGAGTTCAGGAGGACACCCACGAGTTTCACACCCTCTCTGCACAGAGTAGCTGGGGCTGTGGGCTCAGGGACCCCTGTCCTCCTGGGGAGGTCCTGGTTTCAAGTCTCCCGCTCCACTCCCTGCTGACACCCTGAGCACACCCTGGTGATTTGAGGCTGCTGTCACCTTTTTAGTGGGGGAGATGAAAGGATCCTGGCCAGAGGGCCACGCTTGTATACCCGTGGCCATTTGCATCACTGGTCTTTTGTTTTTAAAAGCTTCACTCAGCGTTTTAATGTGCACATCAAATTTGTTTCAGAAGTGTTAATGATATTTGCATTGCATTAAAATGATAGTAGTTGAATATCTATTAATTGCGCATGAATCTAAATATTACTCAGTGTCTTCTTTTGCTCCAAGCGATTTTTTAGCTCATGTTTTGTCAGTGTGTGTTCCAAATGCATCATAATTATGTTCATCTTGGGGAACCAGTACATGGAAATACCCCATCTTGATGTTTTTACTTCCCCTTCCGCTCCACGCCCCCTACGAAGCTCCTGTAAGGTCTCTCTCCACTTCACATGGGGCTTGGGCTGTCGCACAAGGTGGTGCTTCTGTAGAATGCAGGTGTCTCCTTGAGCACACAGGTGACAGTCACCTGGTGGGAGAAGACGCAGATGTCCAGCCCTGCTCTCTGAATGTGTCTGTGTCTCCTCTGTACTTACGTGGTCTCCTGCCTGCCTTCACGTCTAGAGAGGGAGGTTGCCAAACCCAGGGCCTTTGGCTTTTGCATCTGCTGTTCACCCCCAGGGCCCAGTAGTGTGCTCTGCTCCACGAACAAGGAGGGAGGGTTTATGAAAACAGCAGTAGGGAGCTTTGGGGAAGCTGTAGAGGAAGGAATTCTGAGGCCTCTTAATTTGCAAAGTGGCCTTGGCTGTCTTCCCACAGTGCCCTTTCAGTTTTTCCCACATAAAAATCAATGATAAAAGCCTGGTTTGGGGGCCCACACCTGCAAACCCAGTGCTCAAGAGGCTGAGGTAGGAGGATGTTGAGTTGGAGGCCAGCGTGGGTTGCATAGCATGTCTCAAAAAGCAGCTAGCACACACACAGGATTGGTGGCAGCCACTCAGTCTGTGAGGGAGGACAGGTGTTGGTCCTGATGTTCCCTGTGCTTGTTTGCGCCAGGCCGCACGATCATCTTCACAACCCACCACCTGGACGAGGCAGAGCTGCTCAGCGACCACGTGGCTATCCTCCAGCAGGGGCGGCTCAGGTGCTGTGGGCCTCCCGTCTGCCTGAAGGAGGCATATGGCCAGGGGCTCATTTTGACGCTGGCGAAGCAGGTACGGAGCTCACCCGCCCTGCGGTTTCACTGTGGAGGGAGCTCCTTTCTCTCCCACCCAACAGACAAGTGGGGGCCTCTCATCCACAGTGGCCCCATGTCAAAGCACTTCCTCCGCAGGGCCAAGGGCATGACCTTGAATCCCATGGTGCATTTTGACTCCAGAAGAAAATGCGTGTGGCATCAGAATGACTTGTCAGTGCCAGCTCCCAGAAAGTACTATGCACATGGTGTTCTAGGAACATTGGGCCTTTGGACGGTACTCATTTTAGGAGGCCACAACTTTGCCACAAGACAGGCAGAGTAATGAGGGACTAGAGCAGTAGTGACCACAACTTGGAAGGCTGCACCTGTGTCACATTTGCAGTCGTCATTGCCGCATATCCACAGAAACAGGCGATGGCAACTGTGGGATTTGTTCAGGAGTTCGTGACTCACCTCCCAGCTCTGGATGGCTGTGTCTGAACCTTGGTGAGCCTCGAAGCACCTGTCTTTGAGCTCTGTGTTGGGCAGCATCTTCTTGCTGCAACCAAAATACCTGGAATACACAACTTCAAGAAAGTTTTATTTTGGCTCATGGTTCAAAGGGTTCAGTCCATGGTTGGCTGCTCCAGGGCAGAAACATCATAGAAGGCTGTAGTGGAGCAAAGCTGCTTATTTCATGGCATCTGGGAAACTGAACAGGGAAGAGCCAGGGAGACAGAGGGAGAGAGAGAGAGAGAGAGAGAGAGAG